TGATACACAGATACTATATTCTATTCTAAAAACTATGTAACATAAACCCTAAGCAAGCAGTCATGCTGTGAAATTTAATCCTTTCAATTATTAAGTATACTCAAAAATGTCTGGTATAAACAAATCTTAAAATAATTATTCCAAATAAGAAAGTGATAAAAGCTCATCTAATAAGGAAAAAAAAGTGATACATTACTAAAACAACTTTCTTCACAATAGTTATCACAGGCCTATTTTCTGAACTGAATCTGTTCACTTTTAGACACTTTTCTAACTTCTCTATTGAAGTACTTTCCAACAACTTCGTATTTTCTTGCCTTTAGATTATAAACTACCACTCTGGTTTCCTATTGCCTCTCTGAACATTTCTGTTCATGGCAGGGGTTCCCCTTCTTCCAGCTGCTTTTTTAATTCTTAGTATTTCTCTGGTCCATCCCTACTTCTTCCCTCCCTTCCAAAGCCTAACACGCTACACTACTTTAACTTACATCTTTATGATCTGTGACTTGAGCTATTACAATAGTTTAAATGGTACCCTGGCTCCTATTTTCTCCAAATCTCAAGTTATCCTTCATGGTGCTACCAAAAGATTTTAATTGGCAAACATTGGTTAAAACTGCTGCCTACAGGAAAAAGTCCAAAATATTTATTACACCAGGCCTTCAACCTCCTTTCTTCTTCTATTTATTCACCTGCAACTCCAACCACATGGAAATGTTGTTTATATTACATGCTTTACCACAAATTCTTACCTTTCTATGGCTCCTCTTCCTTGAATGCCATTTTTCCATTCTCAACTATTCTCTGACCCAGTTCCTTTCTTTATTAAGCACTTATGATACTGCATTTTAAATATGTTCATATATCTATTTCTCCAGGAAAATACTAACATCTCGTGTATAATGTCCTATTTTTCTCTATAAATTTATGCTCTACTATGACAACATCATTTGACAAATATACACAGACTGACCTGTATGCAATCAATACACATTAATATACTTTATTTTTTAGTTTTATTTTTAGCTGGAACTGACTGCAAAGAAAAAGGCTTCAATGACATATTTAAACTCACAAGATGAAGAACCAATACACTAAAAGACAACAGTGTCATATACTCAGGAAATTATTCCAGTATTTCAAAAATTGTATGGCTATAGCAGTGGGTATGCATAACACACATGACCTCATCACTGTCCTCTCTTAAAACCTTTCAAGGGCTTTTTTAAAGACAAAGCTACAACCTTCATCCAGCCTGCGAATGCTTCCATCTACTTTGTCTCATCTCACACTATTCTCTGCCTTACCCAACTTTCCCAGTTTTTTTTTTCATATGCAGACTTGCCAGCAACACTCCTTTATGTATCCTATTAACCACAAACCTGTCAGCTCTTACTTTTGGCTATCAGCCTAGGGATTAAGCTGTCTACATTTCATGGTGGCTGAGGACAAAACTACAGTATCATATTATATTGGGAAAGCAATACAATACTGTTGAGATCATGGATTACGGGTTCATAATGGGTCTTTGGGCATACTTATTTAACTTCATCGTGTCTTGATTTATCTGTAAAACACAGGTGACAGTGGTACCTACCTCTTAAGGTTACTGAAACAATTCAAGGGAGTAACTTATACAAAACTGTGCCGCCTTCTAGTCCCCTCTTGTAAAAGGCCAGTATGTCAGTCCCATCTCTTCTCGCCCCTCAACACTTAGGTCGAGACAAGTTGCCCAGACGGGGCTTGAAACTGGGATCCTCCTGCCTCAGTTTCCCAGGGTGGTTGGATCACAGGCACGTCACCACGCCCAGTTCTTGTATTCTTAAGACTCAGCACTGAATTCTCAACAATAGCGAGCCCTGCATATGTTTTCTTAAAACATAAAAAATAAATAAGTAAACTGAAAAAGCTTTGGGTCCCACTTTTGCCTCACTAGCTCGACGACCTCAGAAAATTCACCCACCCTACCTAGGCCTCCTTTCACCTCAAGTGTAACGCCCATCTGTGAGTTCTTCTGTCAAGTAAAGCGAGCTATCTACAGAAGCACAAGGCGCGTCTAGAACCGCCGTGCGAACCAAGGCTGTTTATTACAGCAGCGGAGCCCGCGTCCTGCCTTCCCGCGGCACGTCTCGTCCTACCCCCCCTCTTCCCAGTCCACGGCCTGACTGCGCCCTTGGCCCTCGGCCCCCAGAGACTGCGACCGTGGGAGCGCCGGCCCCGCGCAGCTCCCTCACTGAGCCCCGCGCCCCCTTCCTTCCTCGCCCGGACGGACGCACTTCCGGCGGATGTGGGGGGGCGGCCCCCGGAAACGGAAGTGAGCGGCCGCGCCGGCTGACGGTAACCGGACTCCGCGACCGTTCACACAGCGGACTGAAGATGGTGAGTGACCCCCCGGGCGGCCCGAGCTGCGGGCGGGCTTGGCGCGGCGGCCCGGCGGGCGAGCTGCAGCCTCCCAGGTCGCCTTTGGCTCCGGCGGTGGCGTGGGAACGAGGCCAGCGTTGCGTTGCGTCGTGTGATCTGCCGAGTCACGGGGCTGGCGCGGGTTGTGTCTGTGTCCCGGGCCTGGCGGAGCTCTGGCCCCGCGAGCCGCGCTTCGGCCCCACCCTGCCCTTACTTCTCTTCGGTCGGTGTGCTTGCGCCCTTCTCCGAGAGCTTCAGCAGGGCCTTGCCCGCTGCCCGCAGCTGGCTCGCAGCTGCCGTGGGCGAGCCAGAAAGCTCGAAGCTTTGTGCGTTGGCGCTGCCACCTCTGCGTTCCCTGATGGTAAAATCTGGGACCCTGGAGTCCTCAAGCCCTGCTCCTCCTCCCCAATCTCCTGTCTCTTGTAACTGCTTGATAACCGGCCCACATCTGTAGGTCACGTTTATATAATTTAGCTTTGCTTTACATTTTCCCAGAGCAGTAGGCCACGTGTTGAGGGAAAAATCATTTGTCATTCCCCATTAGTCAGCACTGTGAATGCATTTCTCTTCTCCCTCTCACCTCTCTTGCCCCCCTCCCCCTTACCTCCGCCCCATCTCTCCTGACCCTTTTACTTAAAAAAGTTGTGATATTTGAGAAGATGCCCGAATCTCCATTGCCCCTGATGGGTGCTGGTAGGCCACCTGGATACGTGCAGAAAAGTTTATTTTGGAAATTACTGCTAATCGCTGTAAAGAAGTTTGATAAAAATTCTTAAGTGTTATTAGCATTGCATGTTTTGTTTTCGTCTATTACTTTATTAGAATCCTTAAGTGCTAATTCTGATATTTTACAGAAATGAAATAGGTAATGACAGTAGTAGCACCTAGAGATCAGAATTCCTGCGTGCATGGGGCATAGAAATTATTTTTGTCACATCACAGTAAAGGAGGCTGGCAGGACGAGGATAATTTAGATGGTTGTATTTGAAAAGTTAACAATCATGCAACTCCAGTCCTGGAAGGAGTTCAGCTACCTGGTGCAGATGGGTGAAGAGGGCCAGAAAGATTTGTGCTTTGCTGGCTGTCACAAAGCAGGTTGATGAACATTCCAGTGTCTTTTCCGTATGTAGGGAAGTGGAAACCTGGGGTGCGGGTTCCTGAGTTCCAGACTAAGGACCTTGAACTTAATCTTTTAGGCATTAATGAACCAATGAAAGGCTTTTGTGTTTTCTTTTGTTTTTAGCAGCTTTGATAGGGGAGATTGTGTACTTTAGGAAAACCTTGATGTGCCTGTGTACTATAGGAAAATGAGTTAGTCTAGAGTAGCAGGACCCAGTAGGATGCTGTGAGAGCCTGGTCAAGGAGAGCCTGGTCAAAGAAATTCACGGATATGGTGAAGTAACTGATCAAATAAAACATACAGATGGATTAAAAATTCAGTTAAAAGTTGGTTCCTCAGAATAGTTTCTCTTGGAATAGTGTAAGATTAGATACCAAACCAACTGGCTATTTTACATTTTTCTGCTGAATTGTAGAAGTATTATAGTTTAAAGTCAGCATTTTTATTAGTTTGGAATGTATTTCCATTAGGTTACCTGGGAGATAAATGCCAACCTGCGCAGTGAGACCCTGCCTCAAAAAAAAACCAAATGCAATTTGAATTTTGTTTTATATGCTTCTAATTAGATACATTTTTTCAGCAGATAATGTCATTCTCATAGAAACTAATCTTGAAAATTTTTTTCCTTTAGCTTCTGTGACTGTTTTCTACTTTTCCTGTCTGCATACTCCCTTCTCTTTGTTTTTCTTTCTTGTCCTTAAAGAATGGTATTCCTCAGGATTTTGTCCTCGAGATGTTTTCATTCTCTGTGAAACATTGCAGCCTAAATGAGGGATCTTTAAAAAATAAAAGAGGAATCTTTTCAGTGGAAACAAATTGGATCAGTCATATAACCCTTCAAAGTTATCTTCTGTCTGTGTAAGACTTACATCTTTTAATTTTAACAGTCTTTTGGCTTATTTATATGTATATTTAGTCATCTCAAACTAATCATGGCCTGTTCAAACTGGCTGTAATGTATTCATTTATATTTTTATACCATTATCGTTGTTATTTCCTGTTTCCTTATTCAAGGTCCTTCTGCCCCTAAATTTGGAACTCTTCATTGTACCTCATATGTCCATCATATGCTTAAGGCACGTTCTGATGGTCCAAATTATGGACTCTTTTGAAGGCAGTAGTCCTTCTTTCTCTTCTACTTAATGCTTTTTACATAGGTATTCTTCATGTATGTGTATTAAATTCTTCCATATTTAATAGTGATTTTTATTTGTGTTGTAGAATGCCAGAGGACTTGGATCTCAGCTAAAGGATAGTATTCCAGTTACTGAACTTTCAGCAAGTGGGCCTTTTGAACGACATGATCTTCTTCGAAAAGGGTACATGGTGGAGTGGTGGTGTTGTCTTTGTTGTAATAAAATATATCTGTAAATTACTTTTTATTTTTCACATAATTCTTTAAATATTTTGATAGGTTATAGTTGTGTATTCAACTTAGGAAGTAGTAATGATATACCCTGACAGGGTAGGAAGACAAGAAGCCTAGATGTTTCCAGTGGTGGAGGAAAGATTTAGCAAAGTAGTAGGTTCCTAGAAGCTTGATTTGGTAGGATTCTTTCTACTACTCATATCAGAGAGTGCTACTTGTCTCCTTAACTATTGGAATAATTTACTTGTCTTTGGGAGACATAGAACATAGCAAGTAAGAGGACAGACTCTGGACTCAGGCCTCCTAGATTTGGATCCTGGCTCTGCTGTTCAGTAGATGTCTCATGCTAGGCAAGTTACTCAATTGCTTTGCCTCCTTATTTTTTTCTTGCCAGTTACATAGTAAAATATCCCAAGAAGGACTGTATTCAATTTGACTTCTTGGATAATGTTTTGTACAGAGAGATGTTGAATAAATAACTGCTGCAGGTTTCTAAGGTTTCTCTCGGCTTTAAGATTCTGGTTTAATACTTAGCATGATAAAGACCAGTAATCTGACTGTAGCTGTTTATCACTTACAGTACTTAGTATGTGTTGGTAAATGGTACCTAGAGATCCAGCATGTTTATGAAAGACATTAAATATTAACTGTGTATTAGACCTGAAGAGGCTTAGCTATTTTATATGGTGCAAGGAGCATCTCATTAGAGGAATAGAAATAGACACATTATTAATTTTTTTCTGACCAAGTATGGTGGTGCGTGCATACCTATAATCCCAGCAATCAGGAAGCTGAGGCAAGAGGATTGTTGAAGCTTGAGGCCAGCCTAGGCTACATAGTGAGTTGAAGGATGGCAAAAAATACATCACAAGATCCTGTCTCTTAAAAAAAAAAAAGTGTTTCTGGGTGTAGAGTATCATTTAGCACAGATTTTATTTAGAGCGTTTCCTTTAGTGACTAAAGTCTTAACCACTAATATCTATAATAGATACATTTTGAAGAATTATGTTGCAGAATATTTGGCTATTTTCTTTGGTTACATAGTTCTATGAATTTTAACAAATCTGTTTCTGTAACTAGTATGATAAATCAAAGTACAGAGTATTTTACTTCTTCCCCTCAAGAAAAACTCCCCCATGCCACATTACTGTAATCATAATTAGGTGAGGGGTTGCTGGGAATGGAACCCCAGTGTCTCATGCGTACTAAGCTTGTGTTCTCCCACTGAGTTACATTCCAAAGTCCTTTGCCGTATTGTTATCATTGTGTATTCTTGGTAGATACATTATTGAGCTATGGATATTGAAGTGATATGTAATCTCCCACTTAAATTTTTTTTTTCTAGTTTTCCATGTGTGAAAAATGAACTGTTACCAAGTCATGCTCTTGAATTATCAGAAAAAAATGTAAGTTTGTTACATTTTTTTTTTTTTTATTTTGTGTCTTTATTTTTGTACCCTCTTAGGAAAATACTTTTAAGAAAGCTTTTGTGGGGGCCGGGGAGATGGCTCAGTAGAATAAGTGCTTGCCTGGCAAGCGCCAGAGCCTGAGTTCAATCCCCGGTTCTGCAAAAAAAAAGAAAGCTATTGTGTTATCATTTATGAGAACAATTCTGATGCTGAGGATTCAACCATGAGCCCTTACTTTCAGTCATAATTTTATGATAGGATTTTAAAATGTCACTACACCATTTTACTTAAGCCCCCTTTCTGCACATTGTATTCTGTGTTTTTTTAGTAAATGAACCCCTATAAAGGTTTGTCTACCTATTATAATTTCCTCATTTGATAAACCTATTTTTTTCCCTGCTATTTTTCCCCTTGACATCTAAGTGTCAGTTATAGATTTGGATG